GCGGGATGAAAGGAACTTACTAAACTGTTGCCATTTTGCAACATCTGCTATAATTCCCCTAAATCCAGATTTGTCTGACACAGAGAGCTCCTGTTCTTACATCATTGCCATGTGACAGTATAACACCAGTCACATCAAGCTTGAGGATTCCAGCTCCGGGCAATGATAATATGAAGAAAACCTTTTTTGCCTAGGGCAAAACACTTGTAGCAAAGTATTATTCATCTGGCCAATTTAAATCTTCTCTCAAAAAAGTACCCAGAAACATATGCAGCGTGCCTTTGTAAAAGGCTTGAGCTGCTCATAGGCAAATGACCTGAACCAAGAGTACAAAACCCAATGTCCTAATTAATTACTGCTAAGCAGCTCTGATACACAGAAAAGAAATGCTGGTACTAATCCTTAACCCTGTCCTACATTCTTAAAATAGCCAAAATATTGCTGACAGCTAGGAAAACAAAATTGCCTCTGATTTAAAGGTTTTGGATCCCGGCTTAAAAATAAGATGTTAAAAAAAATATATGAAAGGGACAATTTTGGAAAAGTCAAGTTGGAGTCCATACACTGGCTCCACAGCAGTGAGGTCCCCTCTCTGGGATGGAAACAGTGTCAGGAAAGCAAAGCCCAGCTAAAGCCTCTCTGGGCTCCATGTGTCTCCAAGGGCTCTGTGGGCTTGCAAGGTCGAGCTCCAAGGGCTGTGTTCCTTCTCCTGATGAGGACGTGCAGCCTGAACACCACATTTATAACTGGGCAAAACGATGCCACAGTGTGGAAATTAGCACCCTGCTTCCTGCAGCAGGCACTTGGAGCATTTATTGGGGTACAATCAGTTTGCAGGCAACGATGCTGAAAACTAGATTGTGTCAAGAGATGACTATTCGTGTCTTCTTACCAATTTTCTTTCTAAAGGGTGATAGCAGCTTGGTCCAGCTGTGGGGAAAATCATATATAGCACTTTGATAATCACATCCAACACAAGCTTCCTTCTCATAGAATCATAGAATCACTAAGGTTGGAAAGACCAAGAAGACCATCCAGTCCAACCATCAGCCCATGGCTGTGACCACTCCAGAGCATGTCACTCAATGCCGCATCTACCCTTTTCTTGAACACCTCCAGAGATGGCGACAGCATCAACTCCCTGCACAGCCTGTCCCAATGCATCACCAGTACTTCACTTTTGGTATTGTCAGGCTGAATGTAAGGAGAATTTCCATGTGGCAACACCACTGTCTATTTCTTTCTCCACCTCAGTAATAATTTGGTGAGGTTTTTTTAGCTGAGAACCACTGCTGTTAGTGGATGAGAACCCAGGGGTGAAGGCTGTACCCTCCACTGCATCATGAATCCCCCATGCAAACAAAGGAAAACTTTTTCCTTTGGTGCATTCCCCCTCCCTTCATGTGGTCAGATCCTGTGACTCTCCCAAAAGCCTTGGCTAAAAGTTCGTGTTCCTTGTTAGCACGTGTCATCAATCCTTGGTCACTCTGCTATTACGAATTTAATGCCTGAGATGCCCTTGGCCTTGACACAGCTTAGTGGTGACACTGAATGCTAAGTACTGACTGGCTCACCCAGATGCCATATCTCCGTGTTGGTGGCAATTCCCCAGCGTGGTTTTGCCCAAACCCAACACTGAAGGTCAGGTTCCCCTCCAGCTCAGCCCACACGGGGACATATAACAAATTCCCAAGGGCTTTGATAACCCAGGTGTGTAGGATTGATGGGGCTCTGTACAGCCCTTGCCAGGCTCTGCAGGTCAATGGGACATCCCGCATCCCTGTCCTGACATCTGGCTGTAGCTAAGGCACCACTCAGTAGCTCACTGCAGAAGACACTTTTCACAAGGTTTACATTTTATCAGGGAAAGTGTTTTTTTCTTTAGTCCACATAACTACATAAGATCAGGACTTCTCTACAAAAGATTACTATCTTTTAAAATGCTTTGCAAGGAAATAAAAGTGATGTCTGCAGTCCTGCTCATTTCCTAGACATACATTCTTGTTAAATCCACATTCCAGATTTTAACTTCTTTTTTTTTTCCTTCCTCCTGCTCTCTTCCTAAGTTTGGCTGTGCCGCCATTCCATTTTGCTAATACCCCTTGAAACTGTTAACACTTTTTCCTGAATACTTTCCTAGAGGATACGAAGCAAAAAAGAAGAAAGGCTACTGTCAAACTGATTAAGTGAAAGCTCATTAGAGAAAGTAACAAGAGGTAAAATCTGCATATGCATTGCAGAAATGTGTCTGATCTTGCTAAGTTGTGAAAAGACAAAATAAGCTCAAACCTCCTTGTGCTGTAAGTGGTTGGGGGAGATGGGGGCTGGGGAGTGGAAGGGCTCCCAAACTACGTTGCAGTAACTGTTCCTGCTTAGAAATAGGCATTACAGCAGCCCCTGCTCGCACCACTTCAGTGAAGGACTCGCCAGTGTTTTAATGACAAATCCTGATGTATAGGGTCTGTGCCTGAGCAGTAAAAATGCACTATTCCTTGAGCCCTCACAAACTGGGCTGCAATGCAGAATATCTGAAAGAAGTGCAACAAAACTGTTAAAAAAAAAAAAAAAGGAAAAAAAAGGAAGGAAGAAAAATCAAGTCAGTGGTTATAACTGCACGAATTCTCAGAGCTGAAAAACTCTTTTCTTTTTTTTCCCCCCTCTTCCAAGTGAAGTTTGTTGTCGGCCTGTGATAGGGAAATGTCACGTTAGCTTTAACGAATGAAGGAGTTGGGTGGTGTGTGTCCCATTTGAGCCTGTTCACTCTGCCTGGGGCACACTGGCGGACAGTGGGCTCTGTGTGCATCGTGCCTTGGGAGCACCTCTGGGCACATCCAGACTCCTGAGCCAGTGTCCATTTCACCTCAACCCTTCATCCCACCCGCTCTGAGCCAAAAGTTCTACAAGGTCTGACAATGAAGTTTGTGTTTTCCTCATAATTTGTCCCCGCTGAGGTTCTTCCCAAAGCCACAAAGCTTGTCTGGCTGCCCCACTGAAATGCTTCACTCCAGCACAGCACTTTGGGCTGATGGAGTGGCCAGCTCTTGTCAGAGTGCCCTGCAATGCCATAAATTGACATTCATTTCTGAAAATATAGATACACGCTTTGTTGTTACTTTGAACGTGAGCAGTACATCTCCTTCTGCGGGTGTTGTTGTGAGGCAAAGGTAAAGTGATCAGCAATACTTGTGTTTCTTGCTCCTAAATGCACTCACCGTCAGATCTTATTCCCCCTGTCCTTTTTTATAATATGTATAGCCCAATTAAAAAAGCAGAAAGAAAAGGAATACCAAAATACCAAGCTAAAGTAACTGGATAACTTTGACCTTAATCCACAGAAGACAGATATTTTTACGGTTCAGGCTAAAACTCCAGGCTGACATCTAACCTGACACAAATATGCTGTTGAGTGTAAGAGTCCTTGTTAAGAAAATGCCGAGAATCTGCGTGCATAAGCCTGGCAGTTCTGATTTAAATCAGAAAATGGATCTGTTTGGGAGGTAGACCACATGTCTGAAAGTTATGAAAGGGAACACCGATAATAACCGTCTATGGCAGAGCACGTTTCTTGGAATGTGGAAATTACTGTATTACAACAAAGCTGCTGTTTCCACCGGGGTGTTTTGTAGCCCGTCTCATAATATTATGTATTTTGGCAGATCCTTGTAATTACAAATTTAAGACTTAAATCCTCAGCTTTTCTTTATGTTCTTTAACTACCCCTATAGGTATCCTCACTTCAAGCTTAAATCAGACCCAAAACACAAGGTGAAATGGGGCTGATTGAATTCCGGCACTTTATAATGATATTTATTAAGCCAGTTTTGAAGAGAAATGTTGAGGCGAGCGTCTCATTTAAATCCAATGGTCCTTCCGAGCCCACCAAAATTGTTTAATTAAAGCCAAGGTGCGCATTAATAAGCAAGGATATCATTTTGTCATTTATATGTGATTTCATTATTTTGTTAGGGGAATGCGAAATGAAGAAAGCCCCCAAAAACACAGCAACAAGGAAGGACCGGTAAGCCTGATAATAGCCCTCCACGGAGAAGAAATAAGTATACAACAGAAGAAAAGCACAGTGAGGAACATAATGTTAGTAAAACACTCTTAATGCTACACAAGCTGCAGAAAATGCTACTTTGCATTTGGGCCGCAGCATCGCTAACTGTGGGCAATTGAGTAAAGAGTGCACCTTTTAAACTAATTCCTCGTGCTGGAGACATAGCCACATCCAGAATCCTACCTCATTAATATGCTATAGTGGTCAAATAGGAGATTAATAGCAAAGTCACCTGCTAAACCTACAAGGAACCTGTTGATTAACAATAAGCTCCAAAAATAAGATACCAGGCTGCAAAGCAAAATCGAGTCCAAGGGCAACAAGTGCTTCTGTAATTTATTCCTTCTTTACACAAGGGCATAAAGCTCCCTTTATAACCGTGTTTTCAAGGCCCTGCTGTGAGCTGTAGGTGTGAGCTTTTCAGCTGATTTATTAATTTTAGTTTCAATCAAAGTGTCACCTGCAGACACAAAAATGTAGGCCTCACCATAGGAAATACAGTTTAAAAAAAAAAATAAAATAAAAATCAACACCCAAAACCAGCAAAAAGAGTGAGAGAGAGAAGGAAAAAGAGTGAGAGAGGGAAAATAAAGGAGAAAGACCAAAGGTTTAATTCTGAGAGTCCATGCCAGCAATATTCTTTTTTTTTTTAACATGAGCACCAGACGGCCTATTCTCCACAACGCCAAAATAATTCTCAGCCACATAATTAAAAAAAAAAAATAAAAAAAAATCCAAAATTAAACATTTTTGTCATACTTGGAAAGTCAGCCCCAGAGGCGGGAACTCGCGCTAACCCGGCGGCTGCCAAAACAATCAGCCCCTGTTGTCAGTAGGGGGACATTCTCCCCAACGAACCGCCTGAACAACAAGTCCACAGAGCAAAATGTGCAAAAAATTCTCAATTAGTTGTCTTTATTTAGCGAACACTATGGGGTCCTCGACGGCGCTATAGAATTATGGCAGGAAAGCTGAGCTCTTCAGTGGCTTATTAGCATTCTCCGAGGGTTGGAGTGCTGTTGGTAGCAGACTGGTGCCTCCAAGAGCTGGTGGTGGGACCCCGGCACTCCTTCAGCTTTGTCCTTTTGTCCTTCCCAGCCAGCAGGAAGTACGGCCCGATGTCCAGGGTATTCTGGGATACCTTCGTCTCATTCATGGCTTGCAGCACCAGCACTGCCCATGCCTTTGTCAGCTGCCACAAGCATCCTGCTTGCCTGGGAAGCAGGAACTCTGGGTTTGCCATTTTAAAAACATAGTTAGAAAGTGGGTCTGCTCCCTCCTCCTCCTCCCCCAGCAGCTTTCCCAAATGAATGTCGCCGTCAATGGGCCGGGGTCGAAGAAGCTAAATGTTATGCTGCCATCCTATTAAATTACATCAGATGTTATCAACATCCTGCTCCAACGTTAGAGCAAAGGAAGGCAAATGGGGGTAGATGGAAGCATCTCCCCATCCAATCCTTATCTTAATTTAAATGTAAAGTGATTTTTTTTTTTTAAATTAAAAAAAAAAAAAAAAAAAGAGGGGGAAAAATATTGGGTAGCAAGTGCTGGAAATGTCTTTTCTGAGAAAGAGGGTATTTGCTGCTTTAGGGAAAACACTATCATTGACTAAATTAACAAGTTGTCTTATCAACTGCCATAAGCCTTGAAGTCTAATTAATTTAGTACTGATCAATAGCCTTGAATGAAGCATTGATTTCTGCAGCTTTCCAGGGCTGAAGTAGAATCACATTCTCTGCTGCATCCACACTCCTCTCACAGGAATCACACATTTGTGTTATTAACGTTTGTTTCCCCCTCTTTAGTGTCCAGAAAGCATTTCAGGAATTATTTTCCATGGAAGTGTTGATCTTTTAATTTAATTCTGAATAAAGAAAGTGGCATAACCAGAAGAATATACTTCCCAGGAAGTATATTTTTCTCCTGAGTTATATTCTGCTATAAAAATCACTTAAGAGGAAAAAGATTCAGCAAGCAGATCATCAAATGGCTTCAAACTTGGAAGAACTATAGAAAAATCATTGAGGCTTTCCTCATTGATGCTTACCAATGTGTTGATGTCCACCAAAGTGTTGTCTTCTTGAATGCATACAATGGGTTCAACAGAAGGATCTCTGCTCTGCTCTCAAAATAGAGACTTACAGCTTTCTGGAAAGCGTACTTAAAAGACTACAGCATCAACCCAAACAGAGGTCCTCTATCAGTCATTGGAATAAGAACAAAGTCTTTGAACACCAACATCTGAGCCTGAAAGTGAAACTGCTTAACTGCTGTGGACGTGTTCAAGTTGCCATTAACAGATGTGCCATGACCACCCATGGAAAAATGAGGTCCTCAGCAGAGCCGTGCAAGCCTGAAGCCTGAGACTCACTGGAGCAGGCCTTGTTGGCTATTGGAATAGGCCTCATTGACTAGGATTTGGGCTGGTGTCCCCTAGGGAGATAGAATGGACTCACCGGTATCCACAAGCCTTGAGCTGAGCCCTACAGGTGGAAAAGTAAAGTGTGTAAACCCTCCCCTATATGTCAGCCTTGAGGAGGGCATCCCATCTGGAAGGATTCTACATCCCTGAAGATGCTCCACTATCAGCAACACAACCCATGCTAGGACATGGGGGTCCTTGTTTTGTCAGAATTACTTAAGCCCAAATCCACCAGGACAAAAGAATGGAGAAAGGGACAAATCCAGCTGGCAGGTTCCCTTCCTTACTTCTGCTGGGAAGTGCTTTGACAGCTCCAGTGAGCGGTGAAAGGGAGATCAGAGTCAGGCCCTAAATGCTTACAAATTAGCTTAAATGCCAAACCTGTGTGAGCAGAAGGAGTCAAGCTTCATGACGGGTCTCTTACAAGCCCTGTGCCTCCACCGTGCTCCCTGGTGGAGGTACACTACTTGCTTGCTTTCTTTTTCCCCCTGTGCTTCCTCTTATGAAAGTAGCTGCACTCAACTGGTTCCTGTAGGAAAAAAAGAAAGGGTGTGGGGGAGTCACAATAGGGAAAAAAAAAAAAAAAAAAATCTAAACTGCAGAAGAATTACATTTTACCTTTACAAAATTTGGCCCTTTTAGTTTCAAGTTTAAAAAAAAAAAAAACAAAAAAACCAACAAAAACACAACAAAAAAGTCCCACTCCTAATCTGTTTGGGGGCCTCCATGAGTTTCCATAGCACTTTACAAAAGATCTTTATTGAAGAAAGGATTGGACAAACTTTCCTTATATGTGTGGCCCTAGTCATTAATTGCCCCTGTCTTCTTTACCAAGGCCTTATTCCTATGTAAATACCCTTGCATAATGTTACAGGCTATTGTCAGGCTAGCGCCAGTCAGTCGCCACTTATATGCATTTTTATTTCAATCCGCTGCGCAGAGAATGAAAAGATGTCTGGACTTAAGCTGTTTACCAACTGGGCCAAAGCTGCAGTGTGGAAGAACTGAAGAAAGCACCAGGCAACTGCAGGAACAGACTTTGACAATGCGAGCAGCCATTTTCAGTTGAGTTATTAACCTACCCTGAAACTCTTCTAATCTATGCCTTTTTTAAAGAACAAATGTACTGAACCAAACATGAATGAGGCAGCGCTATTAAGAGAGAAATCCTCTAAAGGACTATTGAGCGCAACATAGGTTTGTAATCATTTTGTCTCAGTTGCCTGCTACCAACATTATCAATGATGGAAATGCTTGCTCAGTTGTGGTGGATTGTCTCGTAATTAAATGACAGCGCCGTACTGTAAAAGAACATGCGGAAACACAGGAGATACCGGGGGCTTTCAAACGGGCCACACGGAGCAAGGAGTAGGGGTGGGGATGGATTACAAACCGACTTGGAATTGAGAACGTTGCAATCTTCCTTGTAGAGCACAAGAGCGCTTTTAGGATGGTTCTGTAAGAATAAAGCCTTAAAGCTTGCTGTCGTGCAAAGCATCCTTCAGGTTAAAAGGCAACGAAACTACGTAGAGGGAATTCTTCCTCCTTTAGGTTTAAGCAAAGCACAAAAATGAGAAATCAAGCCTCGCCTACACTCACAGGAAGAGGAGCCTTTTAAGTTTGCTGCGGGCTACATCTTTGTAGTGACTTAATGGCACTACAATCTACATAGTGTAGTATTAGCCTTAAGAAACTCTTGACTATTTGCATGCATATTAGAATCCAATGAGAGCTTAATAAGTGCATATATATGACAGAGGAAACATCTCATTGCATAGTTAAAGCTACAAAAAAACATTGAGGGAGGCCAAGTCTCAAGTTAATTACCATTACAATGCAATCAAGTACGGCAGTCATAGCTGAAAACCTTTTCTATTAAGACCGCTAGGCTCAACCTTGTCTCTGCAGGTCAGCTCCAGCACAGATAACCTTTCCAGCAGACAAATACATGTAAAATTGGCTCATCTAATTAAAAGCTCAGGGAGGTGTAGAAAAATACCAGCACACTGAGCCTAAGCAAATCACAGAGTACCCCCTCCAGCTGGATGGAGCTACAATACGTAGCTGCTGTTTGTTCTGGAAGGAAACTGAGTCACTTACCATTTCAATAGGTTAATCAATTGACAATTAAATGGAGAAATTGGTTAACTCTGCAACAATTAACATGACACTCTATTAAGTACACTTTCTAATTGCCACAGCTGCAAGAGAAAATTAACGGCTGTGTCAAAGCAGCCGCAATAGGTTGTGCTGTTTCTGGTGCTGTTAATGTAATAAAAGTGACTCAAAACACCTGCACTTAATTTCACGCCCTTCAGCACAGGGAGGAAAGGCTACAGCATGAGTTCTGCCTTTAGCTAATGAACATACCACGTGTTTATTGTGTGTGTACACGTGTTACACAGATACACGCTAAGACATAGGTGTTGGTTTGTGTGCGTGCACGGATGTATGCTGTTCTTTCAGTATCTAAAGGGGGGCTGTGAGAAAGAAGGGAACAGACTCTGCAGCGGGGGCTGTTGTGACAGGATGAGGGGAAATGGTTTCCAACTAAAAGAGGGGAGGTATAATAGGATACAAGGAAAATGTTTTTCTACAACAAGTGCAGCACTGGCTCAGGTTGACCAGAGAGGTGGTGGATGCTTCATCCCTGGAGACACCCAAGGCTGGATAGAGCTCTGAGTAATGGATTGAGATTTTGGTGTCCCTGTTCACTGCATGGGGGTTGGTCCAGATGGCTTTAAAGGGTCTCTATCAACTCAATTCTATGATTCTGTGACTATTATTTCCACCCTATAATTATTTGTCTTCGCTTTTGCCAGGTCAGAAGGCTTTGTTTTGTACAAAAAGAGTTCTCACCTTCTCCATGCAAAGCCTCAATGCTTTTGCTGGGAAGAGCAATAGGGAATGAGCCATACACAGCAACTGAGGGTCAGCTCTTCTTGCTCCAGCAGTGCTGGTGGCGGATACCTGCTTCACGCTCCACACGGTGTTTCAGGTTTTCTATCTACAGCAGTTGTTTTCCAAAGGGAATCTTAAGACCCATCCTCATATAGGTGACTTTTCTGGTGTTTGCACAGCTTGCATCTTTTGGAGATGATGGCAAGACCTACTTTTTTGTGGATGCAGTTCAATGCTGGGCTAAACCCCTCCTCTATTACATTTAAGTGGTGGGAATTTAAGAACTTCTTTACTCAATGGGTGGTGAGGCACTGGAGCAGATTGCCCAAGAAGCTGTGGATGCCCCATCCCTGGAGGTGCCCATAGCCAGGCTGGAAGGGGCCCCAGGCAGCCTGACCTGGTAGGAGGCACCAGACCTCAGCAGGGGTTGGAACTAGATGGCGTTTAAGGTCTCTTCCAACCCAACCATTCTATGATATTCCATTTTATGATAAGCCTTTGCACCATGCTGCTGCTTTCTATCTGCTTTCTCTGGATGTGATGGGTTAGAGATTGCACTCAAACATGGGTCTCTGTAACCAGCCAGCTCCTAGCCTGTTTCCTACACAGGGCTGTATGGGGAACCTATAGAGAATATCAATACGAGTGCCCTGCAGAGGCTTGTAAGGACACGGTCAGGTTTTCCCAGAACAAATTATATTACTTCTGATCTCTGCTGTGAAAGAAGCAAAGCTGTAAATCCTTAAAGCTAATAGTGCTATAATAGTAATTGTTTTGGTTTGGGTTTTTTTTAGCCAAAAAAAGAGGGAAGGACAACATGTTACATCAGCCGCTGGTGTTCAGAAACCATGAGAATTACAGCTTTCTGCAATGAGATGAATTAAGCTAAAAGCCATATTAAGCAGCACTGCACATCTGTTGCACTTTTTTATTATTATTCCATATGTGTCCTTGCTGTATGAAAGTGTTTAATGTTGTTCGGCTAATTGATAAAGTCAAACGCTAATGTTTTAACTCAGCCTGAATTCCCATCAGGCTTCAGGCTGGAAAATTCATCTTTCCAGAAACTTGTGTCTTATGATTTTGCTAGGACAGCCTATTAGCTGCCTCATTTCCCTGCAATGATGAATTTAGATTTGTAAAAGGCAGGAAAGCTGCAGGGACAGCGTCTGCTCCTCTCCTTGGTGAACAAAGCCCGTTGTGGCAGCGGGAAGGAGGACGAGGTCTGCCAGGCTTTGCTATGCAGCCCTGGAGAACCTATAGCTTCAGGAGAAGGCTCTGCAGGTAACAGTGAGGGTGTCTGATGAGCACTGGGATGCGGTGTTTGAAGGACCTTCTCTGCTGGCAACTGACCAGAGAGCCCAGCAGTGCTGGTGGCAGCAGTTCAGGTTAATAAATAGCAAGGAGTGAGACATCAGGGTGAAATCCCGGCCCAGAGGAGTCTGCAGTTGGCTTCTCTGCTGAGAAGAAATCTTCCTTGAAAGGCTTTTCCTTGGAAAATATGCTGAATGCATGGTGCAACATCTGGAAACGAAGGGGAAACCCACAGCTTTCCCCTGTCTGCCATGGCAGAGCTGCTGCTGCCATCCCTGCCTGAGTCAAGGGGAGGTCTGTCCCCACGTGCCATGGGTGTAGGCGAACATATAGTTCTAATTGCAGCTGCTTTCCCTCTAATTACAGCTCCGTTTGGTTAGGATTTTCCTCCAATCCCTCATTTCCCCTAAAGCAAACACCAGTGCACCAGAGTTCTAACCCCAGTGGGGACATTTATTAATAACCCCCTCAGCAAATAGGCAAAAAAAATCATTACGCTGCATTAGGAGCTAAAATATTTTCTCACTGCAAAAGCTAATTGATAAAACCAAGCAGACTTTATGGGGCAATTAATGTTAAGATGAAAATAAACAAGAGAGCAAAACAAAAACAGAATCACGGAGAATATGTGTTTCTGGCTTTGAGGGTTGTTATGGTGAGGTGGAAAAATACTCGTAGAACCACAGAATCATAAAACCATTCAGGTTGGAAGAGACCTCCATGATCCCCAAGCACAACCCCAGCCCACCCCACCATGCTCACTGCCCACATCCCTCAGTGCCACATCTCCGTGGCTCTTGGATATCTTCAAGATGGTGACCATTGACCCCACGACTCCTTGGGCAGCTGTGCCACTCCATCACCACTCTTTTGGAGTACAATTTTTTCCTAATATTCTACCAACTTGTCCTCTCCCATTGCTAGAATTGCCTTTTTTTTTTTTTTTGGTCTCTCTCAGAAAAGCTACCGATTCTGTATTTCACTGTAAAAATTTACAGTGGGGTACGTAATCTAGATGAATTTGTAGCTCCAGAACAAAATCCATAATATCACTTTAAATAATGATGTAAGATGAAAGGGGAAACAACTTCAACTTTGAGCTACCTCCAGGGCTCCATGCTAGTAGCTGCTAATACAAGCCAAACAGAGAATAACCAGAACAGAAAACCACACCAGCCCAGACACACAGCCTTCATATGAGCTCAGGAGGGCGGGGATGGAGATAATGAAGTTCCAGGCAAACAAAATGCTTCCTACCTGATATTTTATTCCTTTATCAAAGAATATTACCCATTCCTGTCCATGCAAGCAGTGGGAATTTTACAGGGTTGATGAAAAGCTAACTGAAGTGTGAAAGCTAAGTTCTTTTCTAACTAGCAGTTTACAGCTCCATTTGATTCTTAAATTTTTACTTAGTTTAGGTTAGTGAGGGTTTTCAGCAGCTGGGAGCAATGTGCAAGTCCTGTCTAAAGAGATGAGGGATGCAAAAAGACCTTTGATTTTTTCTTTCATAGAATCATAAAATCATTAAGTTTTGAAAAGACCGCCAAGATCTTTTCCATCTAGCCCAGCCATCAACCTATCCCCACCATGTCCACTAACCATATCCCTCGGTGCCACATCTACCCTTTTCCTATTGTGGTTTCAAAAAAAAAGGCACAATAACTTCTTTATTAAATAATAATAATAAAAGTTTGGATGCATCCTATTGCTATTTGAAGACTCTGCATTGGCTGATGCAGAGAACTTTCTTTCTATGTGTCAACATGTTTCCTGGGAAAACTATTCCCACGTCCATTGGGGCAGGCCATGACATCTCCTAACATTGAAAGAACTCCATTGGAGGAATGTGTACTGTGATTCAGCTCCACATGTGGTTGGGCTGCCAAGCAAGTCTCAGGGGACTTGGCCATGCTGTGTGGAAAGTGGGGCAGGAGCTTTTAACCAGGCATTTCTTGACCCCTAACGAGCAGCTGGGCCTACATAGAGTTAGCAGGCTGAAGGTCATCAGCTATTTTAAAGAAGGTTCATCTTTAACACACTGTGTTCAGAAGGTGATGGTATCTCCTCAAGCTGCCTGAGGGCAACAACATCTGCTCATTCACCTGTAACCCAACTGAGATTATACTTTGATTCCTACCGTATGCAGGGCAAACAGCTCATGGTGGCTTGTGAACTGAACATTTTAAGACATGTAGTTGCTCACTGTCCTCTTGTTCATCTTTCCCATAGGACCTGTGGGAGGCTGGTCCCTCTTTGAACATCTGGACTAGTGTATGGCTGCATTCGCGGAGGAACCCCACCTGGAAAGCCGAGGCCAGAGCTGAAGGCGGGACTCAATTCTCTTATCCCTTGATGTGCTGGCCCAGCTCTGAGGAGATGCTAAGGTAGCAGTTCATCCAACTCTGCTGGCTCTGGAAGGGAGCGTGGGGGTCCCCAGATCCTTCTTGTTTGTGTGTTGGTCCCAGTCTCATCACTTACATAGAAGTTTGCTTGCAGGTGAATGCAAAGAGAATCCTGGTTGTGTTGATGGCATCAGCTGGGCTCTGCTGTTGTGTGGCCTCAGTCTGAATTTCTGAGGAATGGTCTGTAAGTGTAAGGATGAGAGAGAAAGAAGAAGCTGAGCATGGATTTTCTCACCTTCCTGTGAGAACCTGTGGTAAATCACCCATGCCAGTGTATCAGCCTAAGTGTGTACAGTAATGAGCTGAGGATGTCCACAACTTGAATGAGATCTTGGCTCGTATTGTTAGGAAATAATTTGAACCTCTCATATCAAAACTTCAGAAGACAAGTACTCAAAAGGCCTTTGCCAGTATTAAAAAAGAAAGATACCAAAAGAGAATATTTTATGTCAGTGAAGGGATGCTGGGAACAGAGCAGGGACCTGCTAGATGATCAGGTGATGGAGAACAGAAGTGCAGACACTCCCGTGTGATATTTTGGTCTCTGGCCAGCAGAGAACCAGCTCTCAGGCTCCCACCTACTCCCAAAGCAGAGGAAGAATAAGATGCTTTGGCCACCTAATGCTTGCTGAGCTTCCAGCCACACCGAGGCAGCTTTGCTCTTTGTGGACTGCAGTGCCGACATATGTCTCTGTTCACCTTGATACTACTTGAGTTCCAGACAATAACCAGTGTGGACTTACATTTCCTGTAGTCTTCTGTAGCTCTGTTCCTAATGTTTGGTTGAGTCTCACACCTCTCAATATTTGTTGCTCTTTTGAGAGTTTTCTGCATTCTTCCTCTTCCTGGTTTGTTTTCCACCTGTCCATCCTTTCTTTTCCCACATGTGACATCTCTGCAGACCACACCTTGAGGAGTCAAACTTTTCCATCCTATTGCTGTCCCACAACTCCTGAGCAGTTTCAGGCATTGCTCCCACTCTAAAAACAAAACTGCCACACATTGACTTGCTGGAAACATTCTTTAGTTCCAGCATGAACTTTTGGGTCAATAACAAAACAAGTCCAATATTGAGAAGTCATCCCATCTAGGACGTCCTATTCCTAGCACAGGCAGGGTGTTATTTGCCTTGAGGTTTGTTGACCACTGGACCATGCTGCCCAGAGGGATTGTGGAGTCTCCATCCATGGAGATCTCCACAATCAGACCAGCACAAACCTATGAACCTCACATCCTGGATTTTCTTCTTCCTTCTACCCTTTGCCATCCTCTGTAATCTTGCTCTCCACTCCTGCTTTAAGCCCTGTCTCTCCTTCTTGTCCATTACTTCCCCTCTTTCTGTTCTCCTGGACTCTGTTTTGCCTTTGTTAGAGCTACTTGTTGTTTCTCATGATCTTCCCAGCTCCAGTGACACACCATACTTCAGAGCAAGGCACAGAGGATCTAAACAAGATCAAGAGAACATGCACATAGCTTGTTACAAATACCATTTTTATAACATAGAAATGGTGCTCAACACACAGCGGCTGCTCATTTTGAAATCTGTTGGCCGGTGTGGACTATAAAGTAACATACATGTGCCAATTTATGTGCCTTTCAGAAAGGAGCCAAAGGTCTGGAGCTGAGTTTTGGGGCAATGATTGGTGCTCCCTTGCCCTTTGTGTGAGCTCATCCCTTGTGGTCATTGGCATCAATGCACAGGAGGGTGCTACCAAGACCACTCCCCATGGGTGAGGGTGCCCAATGATTAGAAAAACTTGTTTCTTTCCCCTCGCTTTGCATTACTGGGGTGGAGTATTCTCTTCTTAAGCACACTGCAGTAATGTTAGATGATTACTTAGCTCATTTTTCCATATGGGTTTTGGCAATTTGTAATTGTCTCAGAGCTGAGAAAATGTTTCCTTTAAGAAGGTTAAACAAAGAGTTTATTGACATTAGTGAAGATTGGTTAAAGAAAACATTATTAAATAAAAGGAGCTTTATTTAAACACTAAATTAATCATTTAAAGGCAAATTAGAGGTCGTAACTCCTCCTAAATAAATTATGTTAAACAATAATTAGATATCCATTTTAGATTACAGGCAAGCACTTGGGTTCAGTGGGCTGAAAAACAAGTTTCTTCTCATCTCTTCAAATTTGTTCAATATACATAATTAAAGCAAACCACTGCCCCGCTTAAATTTTCCACTCTGAGATTAAAAAAAGATTCCGTTTGTAACTCTGTGTCATATTCGCCATTAGATGATAAAGCATCTTTAAAGCTTCACTTTCATATAAACAGAAGAAAGGATGAGAGCATCCGGGGAGATCTCCGGCAGTGGAAATCGATTCTCCTAAGCTACTGGTTACACTTATCAGTCTTATCAAACAGGCCGATGCACAAGTGCCCTCAGCCACTTTGATTGGGATGATCTCCCCGTGCTGGCGCTCACCTCTCAGACACTACGGCGCATGCAAGGCGCGTTATCTGCACCCTAATTGCACCCACTGCTCCCTCCCTTTCATTAGCACTCGTGGGCACCTCTTAAGTATGAGATCAAATTAAAAGCAACCATCCTCGTTTCTCATTTCATCACAGCCTTGTTATTGTTTTAGGCTTGGAATCATTTGTTTTGCTGTTTCCTAGGGGAGGAACGACCCTTCCCCTTACGGGCCTGTTTCAAATTGGGGCTCGGGGCAGAGAGAGCCGAAACCCATCCTTTGGGCCCAACACCAACTTCCTAAAAAGCATGGGAAGCCTCGTTGGACAAGGCAGCGGCATTCCAGAGGTGGATTAATGACACCTGGTGTGAGCGCCCAGAAGTGATGATGGCACACTTTGGACACCGCACTCGGTGCAGGCGAATGTTGAGGGGCTAATTAGCATTGGTAATTGCACACTTGGCGTCGGCTTTGGCCACAGCTGCTTTGCACACCTCTGGCTCCTTGCTCTCGCCTTGCTCTCGCTTGCCAGCACCAAGATGAACAACACTGTGCATTCCCACAGAATATATAGTTCACCTATTTCCTCGCTGCTTCCATTTCTTTTATTTTCAAATGCATAAGGCTGCTGGTAGGGGTATTTTCAGCCCCGTTGTCTCACACCTCACGCAGATCTTCAGGATCTCCAACAGGCACAGAGGCTGCAGATTCCATTTAAATCCACATTCTGGGAAGAATAACCTCGCAGGGAAAAGTTGTTTTTGCACAGTCCTGATATCTCTCATTAGCCAGCACACAGAAAGGAACGGAACAGGACTTTTCTGATTATTTCACTGTTTTTTTCTGCCCCTTAAACCACTGAATTTACACACAAAAAGAAAGGCACTTTGTATTTAAGGTTAATCAAGTTTTGGTACAATTTTTTTTTTTTTTTTTTTTTTTACAAACTGGAATCACACTAATCTTTTTTTTCTTGCTCTAATGTGTGGCTGTTGAAATCCTTAGCTGTGATAAATTAAGCTACTTATTAATCTAATTATCGTACATTCATCCTAGAAACTTTCATGTGACTTGAAAAGGCTATTCAACCTTTTCCCTCCCCTCCTAGAAAGGGCTCAACCTTGCACCAATTAAGATCATTCTGAAGTAATGCTTTAAAAAAGCTTTCTTTAATCACCCACTGGAACATAGGCTGGTGGTAAGCAAACTAAAAGCTGTGAGAAAAGTTTACCTTACCTTCAAGCCTGGATATTTTGGGTTGGGAGAGGAAGGTGCAATTGCGGCATTCCTCTCCTCCTCTTCCTCTTCTCTGCTCTTCTAAATAAATCCATGGAATTATTTAGGAACAGAAGTTCTTAATGAAACTGCTGGCATTTCTCTCAGCATAGCAAAGGTGTGGAGATCTGATTAGGTTTTGGGGTAACGAGAACTTTCTGACTCCCAGAGTACGAATTCACCATTTAGTTCTTATAGGCACTGCTTTTAGTGCCTCGCCATTGATACGAAAGCGTCCTGACACCAGAGCATATTCCATTCAGGATTTAAAAAAAGAAGAAGGAAAAAAAAAGAAATTAGGACAGGAAAGACACATCCTCGCTCAAACATCCTTTCGCTGCCAAACGATTTTGTTAATTTTTTTTTTTTTTTTTTTAATAATCGCAAAAATGGGGCTATTTTGTATTCAAATGAGGTGAGCTATTAATCTGAATGCAAAGCAGCTTGGGTCGCATCGTTTGGTGACAGGTTTACCCCAAGATAGAATTTGTGAACAGCCCAACGTGGGGAAGGGCCGCTCTGCCTCCCCGTGCCTTGCAAACTTGCTAACTGTGAATAGTTTTTGAAGTGAAGATTAAAAGAGCGGAATTATAAAGTATAATTACGTTTTATTGAAACTCTGAAAATCAGGGGGAAAAAAAAAAAAAATTCAGCAGGAAACTTTTAGTGAAACATGATGTGTTGTCATTATCATTAAAAGATAAAAGTTCCATACTGTTTTTATCTGTTTATTTGGAAGAAATCCAGCCTTTGCAGTTATGCAGGAAACAAAAAACTGGAATGCAGGAGTAATTATTAAAACTGTGTGATTTGTTATCTCAGCTACTGTCTTTCCAAATGGTAATGCGATATCAGCAGCTGCAGACGGTCGCTGATTTCCTCTATTAGTAAACAAGTGCTTTGGAGACCTGTGTGAGGCACTTTAAGCCCACTACTCCCCGAAGTGCTGTCAGGCTTAACTACTAATCCATGGTATTTCAGAGCACTGGAAATTCATCTTTATAAAACCTGAACAAAAAAGGGAAAAAGCCTGGAGGGCAGGAGCTCCCTCTGGTGAGACAAATGACATGTTCATTTATTAATGAAACAATAACCCTGGAAAGAGGATCAAAGCACATTCCATCCTCACTTTACAATCCTCAATTTTCTCAGGCCATACCATTTAATTGAGCCATGACAATGGAATACTTAATTGTTGCGTTAAAGTTTGAAGAAGCGACTTCTTCGGAATCAATGTTCATTTCTGGATTATGATGGTATAACGTAGCCAGCTTGTAGCTGCTGGAATTTGATTTTCTCTCTTTTACGCAGAGATTGAGATCATTTTATTCCTTTACCTCTTATCCCTGCCTAGGAACATTTATTCTTGTTCACACACACTCCCCATTCCTGTCCATCTGAGGCTGCCCCGCACCAAGCCAGCTGCTGGCCCTTTGCCTGGGAGGGGGACAAATCTAGGGGTGACTTCTGCAAGATGCAGCACTTTGGAGAGGTGAAAGAAACCATTTGCCTTTCCTGCTTTCAATGCAAGATGAAAGAAAAAGCTACAGTGTGGAGCTGGCCTTGCTGCATCCTCTTTGCTCAAGCGACAGCTCATTGCTGAAGTAGATACAGCATTTTGACCTCTGCTTTTGGGAGAGCTCATCAGTAGGTGTGGATTGCATGTGCAAAATACATAATTAGTCCAAATATGAACACTTATCATAATAATAGTTTGGCTTCTTGGTTCCAGTCAGAGGAGGACTTTGATAATTTCTACCCAAGCTGTGCTTGGGTGTCACAACCTTCCTGAATTCAGGATATGGGCAAAGCCCAGGTGTTGGGAATGGTCTCAAGTTGCACCAGGGGAGAGTCAGGTTGGATATTTGGAAACATTTCTTCTCAGGACAAGCAGTGATGCAGAGGCACAGCTGCCCAGGGAATGGTGGAGTCAGTCCTTGGAGGTACCCCAAGAACCATGGAGATGTGACACTGAGGGATGTGGTCAGTGGGCATGGTAGGGATGGGCTGAGGTTGGGCTTGGGGATATTGGGAGGCCATTTCCAGCCTTTCAATTCTATTACATGATTCTAGGAAAGCTCACTGATGCCTCCATGATCAAGAAGGGCTTCTGATGTTCACCCCAACCCCAGCTTCTGATGTTCAATCCCAACATCCCAACTAAGTCACAGAGGACCTTCTGATTCTTTCCTGAGGGCTCAGATTGCCCTTCACAAAAAGTCTGAGGCAAAAGGTCCCCCCTTCTGGTTCTGTGCCCAGCTCCTGCTGGGATCCCCAATATTTTAGATGAGAACTGCCCAAAATCAAAGCCAAATTTTCAAAAAGAACATTATAACTTCTGAAAGGAATGCATGTGTCATATCCATCTCTCCAAGCATCCTCTCCCTTGCATCTCTTTTTGTCATAGTTCTTATTGCTGACTCATTTTGTATAAATGATATTTACTGACTCATTATCCCATACTGATGGACTACGTTACTTTTTCTTAACCCAATTTCAAATTAACAATCATTTAGTTGCAGATAGAAAGGCCATCATGCAGGAGCGTGTGCTACCTTTACATTAATACATTACAGCTTATTAATTCTACTTATGACATGCATTATAATACACTTGCATGTACAAAATGCCTATCATCTCATAACCCCGAGGCACTCACAAACATCAAATAAGCCTTGCAATCTTCTTACTTTGGGTAAACAGGGACAGAGCGAGGTTAAGTCTCTTCTGACAGCTCTGCACAGAGCTGTGTCCTGACACCCTGCAGGCTCTGGAAGCTCATGCTTCCTATACAATGGCTACTGCTCACTATAGGATGGCTAATGGTCCATACAGGGTGGCTAATAGTCCTCATAGGTTGGTTAATGGTCCCTGTTCCTTCATGCATGGTAGAGATGGTTTGCAGCACTGTATATTTCAAGGGATAAGGAGAGAAAAAGGGGTCACACAGTGGTATTGCCCATACTAACAGGTATTGCCCTCCATCCTTGCTCTGACTCAAGCAGCAGACTAGGCATCAGCAGTGCACGAGGAAAGAAAACTTTGGTTGTCCAACATTAGTATGAAGGGGATAAAGGAGAAAGACAGAACTGTTGAGGAATGCATTCAAGCACCAGGTTAGCCTAAGGAAGTGTAAGCATGGCCCAAACACTGAAATCTCTGCTGTATAGACTTTAATGGAGAATAAAGTCCATCTCCATTCTGTGCTGAGTTAGAAGTGTGGAGGGCATGGGGACCAATGTGGGACCAGAATTTTGAAGGATGACTAATTCAGGGGGTGCAGCGTGAGGTCCCTCTGCTCAGGCCAGGCCATGTCCCATTGCTTCCCAAAGAGGAAACAAGCAGATGGAGAGGTCTGAATAAATGAATTGAGTAACAAAGCCTGTAGGGACTTCAATTTTTTTTTCTCCTGGAGTACTGAGAAACATGTGCAAAGACCACACTCCTGGCAGAGGCCAACAGCACAATGTTATCCTTTTCTTTCTTTCTTTCTGTTCGTTTTGCATCTTGCTCATCCCTTCAAGGCAAATCTCAGGTTACCCCAAACACTCCTAGTAACGGGCTGAGGGGCTGCGGGCAATGAAATCAATCCCAGCTCCCTCTGTGCGGGTTCACATGGGGCTGGTGTTGAGCTGAGGCTCTGAGAGGAGAACAGGACTGAGTCTGTCTGTCCCAGCACACATCGGTGACCGGCTCCCTGTGCCCTGCTCCTCACCTATTGAGTCCCCTGAAATCCGATTACTGATGCAGGCCAGCCCTGAGTTCAGCCAAACAATTACTTTGCTTTTCCTATGCTGGAGCTCGGTGCGTTCTGCAGCTGAGGTTTACAGGAAAATGGAATTTTAAGACAAAAAGAGTGGTTGATGATATTGTGGTATTACAGAGATGGCTTATGGTACTGGATGTTCTGTTGTGCATTGGTTAATGGTTCCAGTTGAGTCCAAATGATTTATTATGTTTTACTGAGCTATAATAAGAGCTGGGCAATGAAAGCAGTAGGAGGATGGAGAGAGGCAGAGTTGCAGTGGGTTACTGCTGGAGGATAGAGGTTTGCTGTGCTCCATCCAAGGATCATGGCACATTCAGGCCAGGGGGTATTCTTCATGCACAAAATGAGATATGTGGGCCCGTCCAGCAGTGACACCAAAGGAGTTCAACCCAGGTCACAGCATGGAGGAGATGGTTTGAACGGGAGCATCCCCATCCTCCCAAGTGGAACCCATGAACTTCTGGTGTGGGATTTAATGCTGTACCCATTTTGGCAGCACTCGGGGAGGTTCTGGTGTGGGAGCAGGGAGCAGCGGAGGCACAGTTTTCCCAGTGGGGAGGAGGTGAGCTGGGGAGAGGGCTTGGAACTGCCAAAGAAATATTTTCTTGTAGAAGTTTAAGATAATAAACTCAACTGAGTGAGCAGACACCAGGAAGAAATATTTAATTATCCTTCTCACCATTATGAGGAACTTCTGCCACTCTTCAGGTTATTATACAGTAAATAACCAGTTTTCTAAAGGACAGAGCTGTTTTAATTATATGACAATGAATGCATAATTATTATGTTTGTTAGGAATGAATCACAAGACAACAGACTTGATATTGCTGCTCTAGTTAGTGCATCTTAATTACTTTTTCATTTATTTTGCATATAAAAGCTATTTGCTAATTGTCTTTGCTGTAAATATGCAAAATATAATTAGTCATTCACAATTCTTTATGTGTTATCTAACTGTACATTTGTTACTGAGGAATGTATATTAAAGTTTGAATATTTAATGGGCTTTTGTGGCATAGAATATTTTTGTACAAAGTTTTCAGGAAATATTAGAGACATAATTTAAACCTTCCTTTAACCCCTTTTCCTATGCAAACTAATGTTTCCCGTAAAGACCAGATATTGATAAATTAAACCCCCTGGAAATCCAGTTCTATTTTCTGAGCATACAATACAAATCCACTGCTGATGATATGAAATGCCTCTTGGTCTCAAACTGAAACCAGAGAGATTAGAGCCCGTTAAAAGTATTGCAACTTGCTCTCGACAGTGAATTTAAACTGTGAGTACAGAATTGCAAATGCATTCAAATCATACGACAAGATCAAATGCACGTCCAAATGCATTTATCTTTGGTGGAGGTTCATTACTGTGGGAGCAGAAGGATCTGCTGGCAAAATATATTTTCTGGTAGATGTTGTTGATCAAAGCAATAGGTCACCACTTGTGGTTACCGCCAGGGTCTTTAGCGCTCGTCTAATACCAAAATATATTAGACTCAAAGTCTTAATTCTACTCATTCTTTAATTCTGGCACTCACTGGATCTCTTTTATGTGCATTGCTCACCCTGAATTGGAACTGCAGGTCCAGTCAAACGCTGTGGATTTCCTCCTGTACGTCCTTTTTTTCTTTTAAAGGCTTAGATTGGTTTCATCCGTAATTAGCGCTCCACAAG